GGGGAGCGTTGCGTGACATCCAAAAAAAACGGCTGCGAGGGAGACTAGGTGGTTTATGGTTAACAAATTAATTGTTAACAAATAAGGTACTTTTAATGTACACAAATGAAATAAAGTCTCACTTATGCACTACCGGTTTAAGGCAATAAAATAAAAATAAATCTTTCGATGAGTCGCCAATTAAAGATATTTGAACCACTCCATGCGATGTTTTTCTTTGACCGGCTAAACAAATTTCTGCTCGTTGATATCGGAGAAAAACAAAACATTACCCGTATGTAAGTAAATATTAAATAGCGACTGTACATAAATGCTCTTACATTAAATTGAAAGTGCATCCGGTGAAGTTTTCCATTGTTCGCTCTGTCAACGGGACACAGTTACCTGCCGCCAGATCCCCCTTAGATTTTACATTTTTTTCAACCGAAAAAAGGTTTGAGTAATCTAATCTTCGAAAAGTAATGTTTTCGGGTTATTTTTTTTCAACCAAGAAAAAGTTTAATGAAAGCGAAAACTAAGCAAGTCTGGACAAATGTCTGTTTGGACCATGGCATTATAGTTTTCCTCACATTATTTCAAAGACTGTACATGATTTCCTCTATTGTTTCAATTTTCCAAAATCTCTCATAATATTTTTTTTCCGTAATTTTGCTTTTCAGATTTAGGATAATTATGGATCGTCTTTTTCTGACTGTGTTCCTCTGTGTTAGCTTGGTGCCGCTTGTTCTCAGCGCGGGTAAGAATCCGTAATTTATTACAGCAACTCTTGCCATCTATTACATATGTACTTATGAATAATGTACACTTTTTTCTCTCCTTCCTTTTCGCCGTTGCTCAAAAGTGGACTTTGATATTTCTTTGATGTCTACGACCCTCTCAGATCTTTCAGATAGTTATTTGGCCAACGTTANATGGATCGTCTTTTTCTGACTGTGTTCCTCTGTGTTAGCTTGGTGCCGCTTGTTCTCAGCGCAGGTAAGAATCCGTAATTTATTACAGCAACTCTTGCCATCTATTACATATGTACTTATGAATAATGTACACTTTTTTCTCTCCTTCCTTTTCGCCGTTGCTCAAAAGTGGACTTTGATATTTCTTTGATGTCTACGACCCTCTCAGATCTTTCAGATAGTTATTTGGCCAACGTTAAAGTCTATGATTTCATATTTCGTTTATGACTTTTGCATCTCTACTCTACAGAACAAACACCCAAAAGTAATAAGATTGGGATTTGCATACATTTTTAATCATGTGTTAAACAGTGATGTCAAACCACAGGATATAATTTCATTTAAATTTTCTTTGTGATATCAAGAAACTCTCGGTGTTGCAAGTACGGTGAAGTTTATTTCAGAAATCTGTGGTGCAGTAGTTGCACCGGAACTAACTAGACGCTTGCTTGCCAAGAAAAATCTGATCAGTTTTCGAAATTCACTCCTTAACTAGTACTTTAAGGGCCCAAAAGTACTCTGTGAATTAGAAAATTAGATAAAAGCTCAGTTTTTCCAAAAACGGTAATCCTGAAAAAAAATCCAAGGTTCGCGATGGAGAATATCAAATCAGCATCTGTAGTGACTCTTGAGCAGACATTTTCTCAGAATTCCCGTTGACTCAGTAGCTTACACTCTGAAGCTGTTTGTCATAATTTTATTTTTTTGCTCATAGATTATGACTACGTCGTAGGTGGAAAAAACGGTAAGTTTTTTTTGCGTTGTTTTCCTTGGTTATCCTTAATTCCAGTTTCTTTTTGGATTGATTGGTTATCTTCTCATCTACGAAACAAGGATATCGCTAATATTTAAGGACCATTCTATGAGTGCATATTGAATTTTAGATGGCAAATACTTAACAAGGTGCGTAGCACCGAGTTGGTTCTCGTACCCGACAATTGCGACTGGAATGACTGTTTGTTTAAATTTTACGCCTTTCGTTAATTCTCATGAATTTATGTTAACTCTAAAATTGAGAAAACCTTGGGTGAAGAAGGTTCCATACACGGTATATGAACTGCTAACCGGAGGTGAGTTAACCAATAGGAACACTCGAAATGCAATATCCGGAGTTGAAAATGTGATAATACTTGGTATGCAGTGATTTTACACTGTCATCCGAGTGTTCAACGGATTTTAAGGATGCCGCAATCCACGAGTGGGTAAACGTTTTTAGACAAGTCTTCTTTACCGTAAAGAGATTACAATCAAGCTGTTAGGCTCCATAACTCCACATTTCTCCGAGAAAGTCAGTCCAAGATAGAAAACTGAGATATTCCAACTCACACTCAAAAGGCCTACAATTTCCTTTAAATTTTCTTTGTAAAACTGAACTTTGCTTTATATTTGAGCATCACATACCCAAGTGGGACTTAGAGGCAAGTACTTTGGAGAAACAAAATTTGCCATAACTTTCCACACGAGCTCGTAATCATCCAAATACAAACTAAAATAATTGTCTAGAATTACCCATGATATAATAGAAATTACTGCTGCCCTTAGCTTATGAGCGTATTTCTGTGTTTTTCAGGCCCTGGAAATTGGACAGGTATATGCGCAACCGGAAAGAAGCAATCANTGTAGCGGGTTATTCTCTTCTCTTAGGGTTTTTTACTCTTAAAAGGTACAACAATTCGTCTCTGAGGTTGGCGAATGGAAAACAATCAGTCAGGGGCATACGATACAGAGTCACTCTTCCTCAGTGCCTGAGATCGAGCAAAGCAAAAGGGAGGGGGGGATTTCAAGTCTGTTTACGCTGGCTAGAATAAACCAAACATTTACCTATGCTCTCCTCCCTTTTGTTGGTAGAAATTTGGTGCTTTTTCGCTTTTATGCGCGGCTTAAGTGATAAATTAGAGATGAGGAGATTTTCCATTAGCAAATTCAACAGCATGTTTTTCGAGAATTCCAAAACTACGAGTGGAATCTTGAGTTCTGGAGAGGTGAAGAATTAAAGTTGGAAGTTATTGATGTTGGTGTCAACTTTTAGTATACTTCAATAGAAATTAAACTTGACCAATTGTGAATCCTGATTAATTTACCAATCTAACTTTATTTCTTAAAAGCTTGTTTTTACCTTTTTCTCGAACAGATACACTTTGTCAGCTACAACACCAAATATGCAGGCTTAGGCAGTGCAGTTCCCAAATCTGATGGTCTGGCAGTTCTTGGTGTGTTCATTGAAGTATGTGGAACATCCCTTTTTGTACTTATGAGCTTTTCAATTTTGTTTTTTGATATTATGTTATTTATTTCTTTATAGGTTGGAGGTAGTGATAACCCAGCATACCAATTTCTGAAACATGCCGAAGATGTCATAAAAGGTAAACCAGTGTATGTGATTTTATTTTATGTTTAACGTTCTTAATTCAAAGCTGAACTGGTAAAAAGAAGTAAGTAAAGAAGTGGTAAAAAGGTGTGCGTCTAAACAGGATAAACTTGAGGTCCTTCATTTTGAATTTAAGCTCAAAGCCTTTTACCAGAACCTTTTTTTATGTGGCCACCAAAATATCAGTTATCGTTTTCTTTCAAGTTGTGTCCCGAATCATTCATTTGTTTATTGATTCAGTTTTTAATTTTACACTTCGAAAACTCGAAGTGTTTACTTATACACGTTTTTTCATGAATTTCTTTCTCGTTCTACAGTTCGTGATCGTGTCACGCACTCACCTATTTGTATTTCCACTGAGCCAGACGTTTCTCCATCATTACTCAAACCAATGGCCGTCAATACACGGATAAACGATACCCAATCACATAAGTGGTCGTATAGAGTGTCGTCTATA